AACTTCAACCGCCTACGAAACGTGCTCCAGCTATTGTAGAAACTTCAAACCAATTCGACCAGATGCAGGATACCGAGAGCTTCAAAACAAACCAAGGTGGGAAGTATATGGATCACAGGAATCCGAAATAGCCTTGACAGTTGGGAAGATTTGCTGTGCCACATCATGGATTAGAAGTTAACAAATCGTAGATCGATTTTACGTAACGCGAATACTGCGGAATCATCGCTCCCTGGTCCTTTGGATCGCAGGAGATAACCTACCCTATTTGCTTACCCTGATAGCTTTTCTTTTTTGGAATGAATGTGCCTTCTTCGGTCAAGACCTTCAGAAGATAGCCTATCTCAATTACCTAACCTGATAGGTTTTCTTTTTTCGAACTATAGTGAGAAAAAAGGGGCAGTGTTAAAAATTTTTTTATTTGCGAAACAACTGCTAATGGTACCGGACTACCCGATCATTCTTTAATATAGTTTTTTTATCCTTGCACTCTTACTATCTGGAGAGTCATCAACTTCGACCCTATCTTTCATGCACAGCACCTTCGGCCAAATCTACAATCCCAATACCCTGCTTTAATTTTTTCCGAATAATAGTGAGAGATCTATCTTGATATATGAACCTTTCACCCCGCAGATCATAGATCAAGGACTCACGCTCTATTTCATACATTGTTACAATTCCTCGCCTTCGATCTAGAAAGTTGAATGGAATTAGTGTCTGTAAGCTTCACAGTCGGTCTTATTTCAAACCAACACCAGTCTGATACTTCTTCGTACTGCAATATATCGTGAGTATGCTGGTCCTATTTGCATATTTTTATCGGGAAAAAAAAGATTTAACGCTCGTTTTTGTTAAAAAAAAATAATTGCGCTTCACGTCGCACAACCCCTATTCTATCGACAAGAGTTTTTCCGATATCGTAATGATGAAGGCAATTTGTTTATTAATATCAGTAATCACGCACTCACGTGATGCATGCAAGCTTATATTGATTTTTCGATTTATAGTATATATGATGAAAACTGGTGGTATTGCCAAGATGATACTTTATTAAAATGGCACTAATTTACAAAGATATAGAATACAGCCTAGAATATTCTACATTTGTCGCCACCCTCCTCTCTGAGTCCCAAATGAATTTCTTCTTGCTATTTTTTTGACAATCCGAACCCACATACCTTCGTACTTACGCCCGAAAAAAGATTTTGCATTGTCCAATTGCCTTTGTTTTTCAAAATACAAAAGAGCGGTTGTGTCACCCTCCCAGTGCCATCTACCAAATAATCCCAATTCGCAAAAGCATTCCATCAATGTTTCATTTCTATAACTCTAATTCTTAATAATATTACCATCGATCTCAAGAGTATATTTATTATTTGTGAAATCAGGTCCTGTGATATATGTGAAAGACTTGTAGTAATTATCCAACGGTACATAAGACGAAATATTTCTAAGTTCACTAGACATTCCTGTGGAAAAATACGGCAAAT